GCCAATTTCAAGAAAAACACTATCAGATTTTATTTTCTTACATTTTCAGTAAAATACAAAAGCATCTGAGTCAAACTCATGTAACACAAGAGGAAAATTATTTCTGATCTTAGTATTTTCAAAATAAGAGGAGCTGAAAATTATAGGACATATGCTATTACCCTATATGATATCAGATACTGCACTAGGCTACTTTACTTCGATTATCTCATTTGATCCTCTTAACTGTATGGCACAGAATTATCCACATTTTAATACTGAAGAAGGTTGTGATTATGGCCACAATGATTATATAATGTCAGTGAACATGGAAAGCAAAACTATGTTTTAAATCCTAATTACTAGATTTTTAAGTAGCAACTTAAATTGGAGACTCCTAAGTAAGGTCCCCTAGGTCTCTGCAATAAGACAGAAGAATCTACGAGCTGTTTGAAAGTATAAAGAAAGCAAACAAGTACCAGGAGCTTTGCTTCCTAATATAGTGCCACTTACTCTACTCAGAATTTTTCACTCCCAACTGTTGAAGAATTGTTCTTTATCAAGAGAATTACAGTTTAATCTGTTTCTTCAAGTAGTCTTTAGAAACTACTTGAATGTCTTAAAGACTTCAATGATATAAATGAAAATTCATTCGTCTAATTTTTTTCATGTGGGCATTATCAACAAGGTCATTTTCTATCTTCCTCCATGTTTCATCTACTCTGTATGGAATTCTTTAAGCCTTTTCATTATCAAGATAAGTTTTCTTATAATTTAATTATTATTCATCTCTTCTATCAGTTCTTTCTTCTTTTCCTTCTGAAATTCCTAGCTCACATTAAGTTTTAAAATAATGGTGACTTTCCGGAAATCTAGGAAAATTTTGTTTAATTCATGATTTCCATACGTTAAGATTTTTCTTGTATTTGGGGCTATGTTCCCATATGTGATCTTCAAGGCTTCCATTGATTATGTCAACTTGACTAAGAGAAGCCCAACTACAGTGGCTCAGCATTTCCACATCCTAGGTGTGCAAGATGACCTCAGGCTGGCTTGTGCATGGATGGTATAAAGGGGAAAGACCATTTCGCTGGAGGACCGCCAGCCTTTGTCTTTGCCTTGAACGTCACCTGGCTTCCAGCACAGATTTTTCAACCTTCTGACCCAGACTGCTCAGCCTTCCGTCACAGACCCATCAGCCTCTCGATACAGAGCCACATAGGACACCACAGTGAGCTTCAGCCCTCTGGTTCCTTCAGTCTCCCATGAACAGATGCCCTCTGCACACTTCCTTATCCAACTCTATGGCTGACCATTGTTAAGACAATCTTGTAGATTTTTATGTTTGTAGACCTTACGTTACACTTGTCTCTCTAGTAAATGCTGAATGATGCATCATCTGTTTAATCTTTTACAAAAATTATACAAATATGAAATAAGTTTTTCAGGAGACCCATTAAGTCTCTTCCACATTATATTTTCATTACCCTGGCAATTTTTAACTTAAGTGTTCTTTGATCCTTTCAGTAATCCTGAATATACATGTTCATTATTCTCTAGATATTTCCTTCTAGTTGACTAAAATGGGGTGCTAAGGGGTGGGAATTTAGCTCAATGGTGCAGTACCTGCCTAGCAAGTGTGAGGTCGTAAGTTCAAGTCCCAATACCCCCAACTCCAGAAGAGGGTTGCTATTTTTTATTTAGCTTATCAAGCTTCAGGTTTAAATGTTGTGATATTCCAATCAGAATCCCACATGTATTAGAAGAACATTTACCCCTAATATCTTTAGAATTATTTGCTGTGGTGGCCAGTAAGCTGCTGTACCCAGAACAAGCTTCCAAAACAAGGAAGAATTTCTCCTTTGAGCCAGGAGAAATATGGTAAAAAAGGAGAGATGGAAGTGTGATACCCATGGAAATGGCAAAAGAAAGTGGGGGGCCAGGGATTTAGCTCAGTGCCATAAGCGCCTGCCTGGCCCATGGAAGGTCCCAAGTTCCATCCCCAGTACTGAAAAAAATTAAAAAGAAAAGCAGTGGAAATTATAAAAATCAATGTCTATCTTAAACTGAACTGACAGGAAAGTAGAAGACAAACCTTAGAAAACAAAAATCTATAGTGTAAGTTTTCAGGAAGCACAACTGTCTTTTAGTAAGAATAATAGGGCCAGGTCACTGTCAACACTGCAGCAAAAATCTGCTCCTCTGAATAATTTCTGAATATCTCTATGACTTTGTACACAAAATTCTACATTGTAGAAAGAATATCTGGGGCCAGGAATATAGCTCAGTGGCATAAGCACCTGCCCAGGAAGAGCAAGGTCCTGACTTCAATCCCCAGTATGAAACGAAGGAAGGAAGGAAGGAAGGAAGGAAGGAAGGAAGGAAGGAAGGAAGGAAGGAAGGCAGGCAGGCAGGCAGGCAGGCAGGCAGGCAGGCAGGCAGGCAGGCAGGCAGGCAGGCAGGCAGGCAGGCTGGCTTGACCAGAGGTCACCACTGACTGCTACAGGGTGGAAAAGAAGGAAGATAGGACTCTACTAGTTTCTGTATTCCTCCCATAACTGTCCATAGCTATAATTTCATCTGTAAAATTAGTAAAGAAATAGGATACAAGTTAGCCAAAAAGAAAAAGAAAAAAAAAGGCAAATATCCATATTATGACCTGGTGTCTTTTATCAGCTGACTCCATGAAAGGCACACTTATTATTTGCTTTTAAAAAAGATTTACTAGCACTAATAAATGAAAAGTATCATATACCATATATTCATAAAAGAAAATATAGTTTTCAAACATTTTCTTAAAACCATATTCTACGGATAGCGAGAATAGAAAAATGATTAAGTTTTAAAAACAAGAAAGGTTAATTTCTAAAATCAATTAAGCTTGTTACATACAATATTGAAATATCAAACATTAATGAACTCCATGAGGTATGATTAATCTTAAAATATCCAGGTCAGCATTTAGACATCGAGGCAAAAACTTTTTAAAAATCAATCTGATACACTAATCTCTCAAAACTATTAGACTCAAGCAACAAGGATAAAAAGAGAAGGCTTCTAATTCTTTTGTCCAATCATCTAACAGCAGAAATTTGCCTCATACAAATATTTTAGAGTTCCTTAACTATGCTCAAATTCAGGAAATATGACATGAGAGATTTCAAAGGACCTAAGAATAAGCCTAGAGTCCTAAAAAGCTAAATATACAGGAGGATCTATAACCAATCTTGATTCCCTTAAGTGTATTATATACTTTATGTACTAACAACTGTATCTCAATTATATTTTGATTATACTTTCAAAGGTCCCCGTGCCTTTCCCTCAACTTCTATAAGGCATGAGAATTTAGACAAAAGGAAAGCAGTATGCGCCCGAGACTACTGAGCACTGTGGGAGTTGGGCCTGCAAAGATCCATTCTTTCGAAAGCTGTGAGTTCAGGGACAGCCTGGGCTACACACTGAGATCCTTTTTTGAAATCAAAACCAAACCAAAGGAAAAAAAAACAAAAACATAAAAACAAAAACTCCAAGCCCCATATCTAATCCTCCCAGCAGAATCTAGATAAAAAGAACATTTTTATGATATATATTTGGGAGATTTAAGAAGAGAAAGATGAGGAGGATGACGAGAGGAATACTATACTCAATAAGATATTTAAGGCACTGATAGAATAAAAATTCAAAGAGCTACAGATAGAATCCTGAAGGCTAACAAGGACACCATTTTCAGAAAATGTAAACATTATAGCATTTTTTAATAATTGAGAAAAATTCAATAGATATGATAAGGTGACCCAGAAGGTGACAGAGAAGTAAAGACAGGGAAGTTAAAAGGTAAGAATAATTACCAAATTCAATCACAGTTACCCCACACTAAAGCAAGCCGCTTAGGAGGTTTTGTGATGAGCATAAGTTCAAGTTTTTTAAGGTAATCTGATGAACTAGGTCCAGGATGTGGCTGTGATAGTGAGACAACGAAGGAAATAAGAGAAATAAAGAAAATAGAGTATGTCAGGACTGAATATAGCAAGGACTATATCAATGGACAGTGAAGTGACAAAAGATAATGAGACACAATGTGATAAGGAAGTTATACGCATAGCATTGTAGTAATTTGTAAAAACTAGGAAAACATAGTAGAGGCTGGAATAGATGGTGATGGGGAGGGAATAATCTTAGTCACTATTAAGTGGAAGTCTTAATAATGGTATATATTTTAAATGACACACATTCCAGTTTTAGTATAAAAAAAAACCAATTATATTGGAATGGATGTCATCTGGGAAGACAATGATTACACAAGTTAATCTGAAACTGGTTGAACAAAAATCAGCTTGAGTATCAAGAAATAGGTAATGAACTCAGAAAAAACTGTTCTTAAGAGGCTTGCTTGTTTCAGATTTCAAAATAAAAAGTTTAGTACAATAAAGCAAAGACCTAAATACATAGATCTGTGAAAGAAATTCTGATTGAACAGAAATTCAAAAGTTCAATTTGGTTTGAAATTATTTTCTCTTTAGCACATACTGAAAATATTAAATTCTGAACTACTAGATTCAGAACACATACTCTAGTACTAATATACTGGCTGATATTCAATTTAACAACAAAAAGATCAATTTAACAAAAAGAAAAGGCTTCTGCCTTAGTAGTAGGTGACTTTCTCTGACAACTTATGCTCTTAAAAATATGTCATTCAATTTAGTAAATGTTTATACTTTATAATGGTTCACATTGAAATCAATGATGGACATTTTACAGCCTTTTAATAAAGAGACTATAAATTAACTAAATCTGACCACAGTAATCCATCAAAATTCAGTTCTACACTAGTGGGTATCTGGCTTGCATTTGGAGTGACTGCTGTGAATCTTGTTTCTAGCCAACCTTAGATTACCATCTCTCTACTTACCCTTAAGAAACAATAAGCCTTTACCTATTCTGAAGGAGCACAAAATACTCCATGACAACAAAAAATAAACTGATGTGTTACAATTTAGATATCATCAAATAATACTTACCAATACAGACATCAATCTTCCCTTTAATTGCAGCTTCATGAAGGGGTGTATAGTTCCAGTTATCCCTGGCATTCGGATCAGCTCCTTGGCACAATAACAGACTCACAACCTCCGCATGGCCAAAAGAGCAGGCGTTATGGAGCGGAATAAGGCCTCCATCATCTCGAGCATGCACATTTGCACCCATCTGCAGTAAGTGCTCTACCACATCCTTCCTTCCAAAGCCTACAAAGAATGGCAAAATAAAATATATTAAATCAATTTTGTAAGAAGAATCAACAGGATAACAGTAAATAACAAAAACATACTGAACTCTACAACAAAAAGGATTTTAGAAACATGACCTATGTCCAAACTGACCTCTCATTTCACAAAACTACATAGAACTAAGAAAAACTCTTCCTGTAGTCATTGGGCAGATGACTCAAAAACCACTTCTTAATTATCTGCTAGATGGCTGGCAACTGTGCTAGAAATACAAAATGGATGAGACACGACTCCTGTCCAAGGCACTCACTTCCTCTGAGGCTTCCTAAGACACAATTACACAATTACATGTCCACGCTTCATCTTCATATTTTAAGAGTAAAGGTTATTTAAATGCTGCTGACAATTGAAGCTAAGATAAATTACAATGTCCAACAGTACATCCGAGAAGCTAGAGAGGGAGGAATGCTCACTGAAGAGAGTAAGTGCTGACAGTTTAGTTACAGGGGATTAACTAGCCCCCCATTACTGGGCCTAGAGGCCACATTCTGTGAAACCAGTAGGTAAGTGAAACTATTCAAGATGGGGTTTACGGAGGCTGAGAAGACCACAGGACAGACAGGGGGACCCAGACATTTGAGAAATCTTCAGCACGATGAAGATTTAGTAAGATCAACAGAGAAGAGCAATATGGCCCTTGGGAATTTTAAAGTAATTTTACTGAAACAATAAAATTACAAGCTATATTGCTAATTTATACAGAAACTGTACATATTAGAATTTCATCTTTAGTACCTTTATGATTGATTTTTTCCACTTTATATTTTATAAATCTTATTAGCTAAATATCACCACCTCCATATGATTACTAAGCTTGTTACTAAATGGCATCTTAAATCAAAATAAAAGGTAGTGAGAAAGCTGTATCTTTCTCCATTTCTGGCATATATTAAATAAATGAAAACAATATGGAAAATAATAAGGAAAATAGAAACTTACAATATGTTCTCCATGCTATCTAGAGAAATTCATTCAATATGAGAAAGTAAGCACTAAGAGTAAGCTCCGAGATAAAGGATACATTTCCACAGATATTTACTGCAATGTCAGAATTGGGTTTGCGCAAAAAAAAAAAAAAAGCTTCAAATTACACTGAATTTTTTTTGGTTTAAAAAAGGCAATTCTGCATTAGTTAGTGGAACAAATGTACAGAATATGTGCTAAAGTAACCGTCATCAACCTACCAGGGTTTGCTTTGTTCTTAATACCTACAGAACTTTAAAATTATTAGGTTCTGTTTGGTTCTCTGGCTGCAACATCCTTAATCCTTTGACCACAAACCTAATCTTCCACTAGGCTTCAGATACTGTCTTTATGCTGAAAAACTAAGTGATTCTTTTTACTCATGTGGACTTGAATAGAGCCTGAGTACAAAAAACTAGTACACTAGTTTTTTTCCTAACTAGTGTAGTACCAATGCTTGAAAACTTATTTCATTAGTAATAAGTAAAATATTAATTCATTAGCTGGAAGTTTAAAATATTTGTAATTACAAAGCAAAATAGGAAGCTGTATGCTTGCTTTTTTACTAAAACTTTTAGATTGCATAAGTATTTGGCATTAGGGAGAAGATCGTTTTCTTAATTACTTTTCTCTCACTGAGACAAAATATCTGACACCTAAAATCAAAAGGGGAAAAGGTTTATGTAGCTCGTAGTTTGTAGAAGTTTCAGTCCGTAACTGACTGGCTCCAAGGCAGGGTGGCACATGGCAGAGGGGCAACAGTGCATGGTGGCAGAAGACATCAAAAGTAACAAGAATGCAAAAAGCCTCTTTCTGTTCCTTTAGCTGTGTCCAGTCTCCTAGAATTAGGGTGGCGCTTCTTCTAATCAGCGGACTGATCCAGCAATCACCCAGTCTGAATCCCAGCATCCTTAATCCCAGCATTGCACTACAAATCTATCACATACTCTAGATTCAGCCACCTCTGAAAAAACTCAATGACTGCTTTAGAGGGACAACCAGACACAAATCTTAACAATAGTGAAGTAGAAGCATGCTCAAACAATGTGAATGTAAACTGGTACCACGTGTTAAGAAAAACTATAGCAGTATCAGTTATTATGACTCCGCTTAAACAAATATACTCTCGGGCTTACCAGTATCGTTTTCAAAACTTATCACAAAGAATTCTTTATAGATGAGCAAAGCTTTCACAGTAAGAATATCATAGCATTAGTTACAGAAAACCACAGAGACAATTTAAGTGTCAACAACTGAGACCTTTTATGGAAAACATTGGTTTTTTTATATAATACCATTTTGTATTAAAAGGGATATTGTGAAAGGGCCAGCCTGATAGCTCAGTGTACTAAAGTGCCTGCTTAGGTAGAGCACAGTGGCCAGAGTTTGATCCTCAGCATGTCTTGCCAGCCCCACCCCCGGGGTGCACTGAGATGGTGATTGAGACTGGGCGTGGTGGTACGCACTTATAATCTCAGTGCTTGGGAGGCTGATAATAGAATCACTATGAATCTGATCTATGTAGTGAGACACTGGAGATCCTGTCCTAAATACAGAAAGTAAATAAATAAATAAATAAATAGGATGTTGTTAGAACATTGTGAAGGCACTTGATACCACTGAATTACACACTTAAAAAATGATTGGGCTGGCAAGATAGCTCAGCAGACTAGGTGCCTATTTAGGCAAGCTCAGGGAACAGGGTTCGATTCCCTGTACCACATGTGGCGCTGGCCCATCCTGGGCACACTGTGCCAGTCACCAAGTCCAGGCATGGTGGTACAACGCCTGTAATCCCAGTGCTGGGGAGGCTGAGACAGGAGGATCACTCACAGTCTGGACTATATAGTGAGACCTGTACCAAACACACTTTAAAAAAAAATTCAAGACTGCAAATTGTTACACATATTTATCACAGTAAAAACCACAAATATAAATATTGTATGAATAAGAAAGGATGCTATATAAAACTTAACATGGAAAAGCATTTACATTAAGCAGTCTTTGAAATTAAAATATACAAAATAAAGTATAATAGAAAATATATTTAATATTAAATGAATAGAAGTGGAATTATGGGACTTTCTGTCATTTGTTTTTCTGTTTTATTCATTATAATACAAAGTACATTTTAATTGTCATATAAAACATAAACATAAAATCCTTACAACTGAGAAGGAAAAGACTTCATGTGAGGAGGTCCGTTACCTCTCTAACCTCACTGAGTTTTAGTCATTCACTGTGTATTCTTTGAATATGATAAACTTGATCCAGCCCAGGGGGTTCTGCACTTGTTGTGCGTCTGCCTGAAGATCTCAGCCTCAGAACCTTACACATCTGCCTCCTTTTGTCATGAATGCTCATCCCAAAAAGAAATTCAAGGATACTTTCACTGTTCACCAACTTAAAACCACTCATAGGTACACACACCCTCCTGGCACCATTTTTTCATTATCCTACCTCAATTCCTTCCTATCCTCTCAGTCGCTACATGAAAGTGCCTTATCCACTTACTTTAGTGGCATGCTGTGTATTTTCCATTCAAGATGCCCCATGAAAAAAGGTATCCTGACTGGCCAACAGGCGGTCTACATATTTATCACCTAGAAAGGGTCTACACAAAGTGTGGGCTTCATGAAATATTGTTGAATACATAAATGCGCATAATATTTGTTTCACAGTAATTAAATCAACATAATAAGCAGCATTCAATTTCATACACTCTTTTTTCTGTTTCTGTTTTCTTGCAGAACTAGGGATGGAACTCAGACCCTTGCACTTGCCAGGGAGGCGCTTATTCTACTGAGCCATCTCCCCGGCCATTCTTAATTCATAAAAAAAGAGAAAGATTTTTTTCTATATAAATATAAAAACAAAACATATTTCAAAAAAGTGCCAATTGTTCATGAAGAAAAATCATCAGTAATATCATCATACACAACGACCTCAAATATTCTGATGACTAAGCTTTTACATTTCTTTCTTTAAAGACACATTTCTAAACATTTTTTATGTATTTTCACTATTATAATGCTTTAGATAAAAATACAGCAGTAGCAGTTATTCTGAATCAGCTTAAACAAATATACTCTCTAGCTTATCAATATCATTTCTAAATTTATCATTTCTTATGGCTCCTCAACATTATAAAAACATTTTGCCATTATAAAAAAGCTAAAGTTTTATATATGTATCTTTGTGTTCCCAAATATTCATGTAAAATAAATGGCTTAAAGCAGAAGTATTAAGTCAAAGGATAAACTTTAACATTTCATTTGTCTATCCTCTAATTCATTCTATCAATTTTTATTTCTAACCAAAATGCTTAAAATATGTATTTCCCCATCCTAGTACATTACAATTCTTTACAATAAGCTTTGCAAAGAGGCAAAGAACTGCACTATAGTTTAACTTAATTTTTTGGTTCAGATATGTCCATCTATTGCATAATGACATTTCAGTTAACAACAAACCCCATTTATGTCCCACAAAATTATACCCCCAATGAGGTTGGAGTCATCTTTGTTTACATAAATATATTCTGTTTTCACATGAAAGCTGTACAACATATATTTCAGAACATGTGCCCATCATTGAGTGTCATACAACTGTACTTATTTTATTACTCTTGAAAATTAAATATATACAGTAGAACTCTTAATCCTAGCTAGCATCTCCTTCTTCCCTCAAAGAAACAACAGCGTGTTGTACAGTACATCATAAATGTTTTTATACTTTATACTATTCATTTTTAGATATTTATATACTGTTACCTTTATAAGTATTATTTTGTATTATATATCACATTCCATGCTATTAAAATACACTATAGTCCTATTATTGTCAATATCATATGGTTCAGCAGGAAAGATAGCGCAATGGCATAAGCGTCTGCCTGGCAAGTGCAAGGTCCTGAGTTCAACCCCCAATACCAAAAAAATAAAAATAAAAAATTTTAAAAATAAAAATAAACACACACGCATCATATGGTTCAA